AATTGGATACCTTGTTTTTGTGCAAGCATGTGTAATTTTGTGGTGAAATATTTTAAGTTTCATTCTTACCATTAATGCTCTTATAACTTTTATACTCCATAATTTTATAGTCCAAACCAGTAGACATCTTCTTCCAGAGAATGAAAATTATCCCATATAACATTTCTTTCCAAATTGTCTTAGTTTTGTCTGTCAGTAGCTGAGCAGTTCCATAGATACACAATCTTTTCTGTGGAATTATATGGAAGTATATTCTCAATATTTAAAAGAATATTAGTGCTAGTAATTCATCTCTCATGACTTCAGCAAGTAGGAAATAAAATTAGTGTGTATGTACAATAAAGGAAAATAATTTAATCAGGAAATTGATTTTAATGTCAAGGTTCAAAGGGATTTTAAACACAGTTTAAAAAAGTTAACAGTTCTGTAAAATATCTTTCTGGGGTTATTTTGGTTGATTTTAATTTCTAATTTTTTAAAGCCAGGAGCTGTTCTCTAATATTGTGTTTTTCTATAACAATAGTATAGTCAGCGTTTTTATTTGGCCTTTTCTGCTCAAAGTTACCAGGGGCATGTGTGTTGGATGGGGAGGGTTAAGAGGATATATATATTTGAAAACAGGTAGTGTTTCCTCCTATTGTTGATATTCTTGTTACCACTTCAGAATATTTGTAGGAAAGAAATAGCAACAGAGTCAACCTCTGATCAAGCTTTGATTGCAGTTCAAAGTTGAGGTGATTAGGCCCCCATGATTCATTGAACACTACTCAGTAGGACTTGGAATGGCATTCATATCGTCAGATTTTAGAGGGGCAGAAATAGACAGCTTTAGCAGCAGCTTAGTAGTAGTATAACAAAAGTTTTGGCCAAAAAAATCAAAGGATCTTTAAGGAGTCACATTACCCTTGTCCTACAACTGTACAGAGAGTTGATGTATAGTAGTTACTTATAGTTGTATTACAGCCACTTTGTAGTACTCTATGCAACAGATTTGCAGACTAGTTAAAACTTGTTTAGTTGACTATATAATCAAGAAAGAAAAGTCATGCAAATGGTTGGCAACATTTCCAAAAATGGTAGTTAATTTATCACTTCAGGCTGCTCTAATTCATGCTAAGGGGTCTAGCCAAGCATGACAGACAGTGCAGTATTGTAAGAGTATAAAGGTGAGCATTACATCACCTTTACATTCGTCTGCACTAATATAAACTGAGTGCTCCTCAGCTGTGGCCAAAAGATCCAGCCCTGTATTTTTAAAATGCTTTCTGATAAACTAATTTAAGATGTTAGCAATATAAAAAAGAAATGTTGTTTTTTAAAATACATAATTTTTAGCCTGGTAGTCTCTCTTCAACAGGTAATAGTTGTAACACGTATCATTATCTTTGTCATCTATTGTCCTTGTTTCATTTAATTAAATCTTCTGCTTTTCCTTTAATTTTTTAGCCTTTTTTAATGGGAAAAGAGCAAAATTGTTGAATTTAGTCTTTTTGTCAGGATCGCAGATATACAGAAATCATGATTATTTATCAGAAATTTTTGATATTAACTAGGCCAAATCTACCACCTAAAAATGTTCTGTAACATTTACTGGGCCATGTAGTTCAGGGTCTTTAAAAGCTTAAACAGCTGTTACTATCAATAAAACTCTGCATCAAGTGGTTGGTCCTTTTACTGAGGGAACTTGCTTTTTCTGCTGTCTACTGTATACTCACTTAAGGCATATGCAACACACGTCTAATTAGTTTTACTCTAATCTTAATCAGTTGAGCTATACATTTGCTCATCCCTATACCGTGTGTTGAAAGCTGTGTTACCCATAAGTGTTTAGCTATAGCTAAGAATACTTGCAAGAAATCCCACTTTCAGGTGTAAAACTCTCCTACAGTACTTAACTTAAAACAAGGCCCATCCTCAAAAACATCATTTTTAGATTTGCTGCATCAAGTGAATTAGCATTTCTGATTTTGATTCTTAAATTTGCTCTCTTACATGCAGTTAATCACTAGAGCAGAGGTTCTCAAACTGTGGTCCGTGAACTCCATTCGAGAAAATGAAGGGCCACCCACCTAATTAGTGGAGCCGCGCAGGCGTGGCTCCACTAATTAGGTGCCTGGACCCTGGAGAAGACGCACATGTAAGGTGAGGTGGTGGCCTTGGGGGGAATAGGGGATAGGTGGGAGGGGGCAGTGGGGTCAGAAGAGGGGGTGGAGGGAATTTGGGATGTGCAGGGCTGCGGCAGCCAGAGAAAGAGGCGATTGTCCCCAGCTCCAGGGCTGCAGCTGCCGGGGAGAGATGGCCCTCCTTCCCAGCCTCAGCTCTGTGGCTGCTGTGGCGGGGAAGAGACCCCCCCCTCCTTCCCAGCCCCAGCTCAGAGGCTGCTGCAGTGGGGGAGAGAGAGGGAGAACCCCCTCCTTCCCAGCCGCAGCTTGGGGGCTGCCGCGGCAGGGAAGAGAGGGCACATCCATCGCATTAGAAAGGTAAGACTACTGATATTAAAATATGTGTTGTGTGCTTTTATTTGTAGAACAAAAACCATTAATAATTAAGGTTTTTTTTATATAGCGCTTTTATCCAAAGTGCTTTATAATAGCTCATGGTACAAACAACATTTGGAAAGATCGTTAAGTGATCCGCCAAGACCCTCAACAATTTTCAAGTGGTCCGACAAAAAAAAAAAAAAGTTTGAGAACCACTGCACTAGAGTGTACTTGCATATTGTGTGTATGTTGTATTATATTTTGTGTTGGGTATTGGTATTGTACATATTGCTGAATCTGTGCCATAATGAGAAATACAAAAATGTTACTTCAAAGCTTCACATGGGGTGGCGTCTGCTGTGGTATGAACATCTGGGCTCTGAAAGGAAACCACTCTGCCTCAAAAGAATTAGGTTCTGTTTAGACTGGGGATTTGCCTTGATTACAGCTTTCAGTGCATCTGACGAAGTGGGCATTCACCCACGAAAGCTTATGCTCCAATACATCTGTTAGCCTTAAAGGTGCCACAGGACTCTGTTGCTTTTTACAGATCCAGACTAACACAGCTACCCCTCTGATACTAGTGACCAACTGTCACTGTAGGTGACTTAGCACTCCCTAGTGTAGACAGTCTTACCCCTGCTTGAAACCAGGCTAAAATCTCCTGGTGCAAATAGTGATTTCACTTCTCTGCACTCAGAATCATACTAGCGCAGCTACACAGATGGCTGGTCGTTAATAGTGTTAATTGTCACATATCCACGTCCAGGTAAGCCTCCAAAAGTATGTACTTGGAAATAAAGGAAAGTGGATCTTTCATGGTAGTTTGCTTCACTTACAGTTTTAAGCATTTTAAGAATACCTGTGTATTTTGTTTTAGATTCACTTAATACCTACATAACTCTCGGTTAAAACATATAAGCAAAAGAACAGCTAGTAGAAAGTGGAATGACCAATATTTGTAATTTTCATTTTCTTACAGTATAAATAAATAAAGTATAAAGTAAATAAATACATTTATCAATAGTCTATTATTAGGATGGTAAACATCAGCTAATTTTAAAAGGCATTTTTTTTCTTTCTGCATTTTTCCTTTGATTCAGGATCTGTAGCTGACCTAGGATCTGTATGCTGGCTCTGTGTCACTAGGGGATTTCACTATACTGGGATGATCCTTCAGTGCCCAGTTATACCAGTTCTGCAGCCACCAGAAAGAGAACAAAGCTTTTGTAGAATTGATGCAAAGCTTTAAAGTTTTTACAAAGCCCAAACAGTTAAATCTAGATTTCGTGTGAATGAGTTTGAATTAAGATATATATTATTTTGAAGCTACTCCTATTTCACTGACTTCAGTTTGTATGATTAGCATTTGATATTTGACTTGGTTCAATACACATGAATTAAAAATATTAATTTTATCAATTTTCACAGGAGACTTTGCAGCAGTTGATCATGATGTCTTTGCCAAATGTCTTAATAATTGGCAAAAATCCTTTTTCTGGTAAGTTTTTTTTTCTATTTAATTTAATTTTAAAAATTTGTAATTAGTTCCTTGAAAATGTGGCTCAGGTAGGAATGAGCCACACCAGAGGGCTTGATGAAAATTTTAGCAAACGCTTGACTACAGAATGATGAATTTCATTGCTTCTGCTCAGATCTGAAGGTCAACCATGAACAAACACAAAATTTTAAACAACTAAAACCTCGAGATAGACATGCTACCATTGGGATTTATATTGAAGTATAACTGTCTTTTTAATCTTTTCCATGCCATGCTTCAGTGCATGGAAGGAGGAATCATTTCTCTTGGGCAAGAGGAACCATCTCAAACAAAACTACCTATCTGTTATCTCGTCAAATTCATTGTTTAAAACCTTGACATTATCCTTGACCCTGAACTTTCCTTTCTCCTCCAATATCTGTAAATCTGTCTCTATAGCCATGTCTGTAACATTTCCCATTTTCCTGGGTACTGTGCCTCTACTTTTATCTTTTCTAATCTTGACTGTTGCTGCTATCTTCTCCTAGGCCTCTCAGGGTATGTCCGCATAGCCCATGGAAGCAAGTCTCTCAGCCATGGCTGACAGACTTGAGGTAGAGAAGCTCGCACTAACATTCTGAAAATAGCTGTGTAGATAGTGCTTTGAAGTTGCAGCTCAGGCTCTAAAGCCAAGGGGTGGGGCAGGTTTCAGAACCTGAGCTCCAGCTACAACTTCAAACTGTTGTCTATGCAGCTATTTTTAGAGCACTGACGCAAGCATGCTAGCACACATCTGTCGACCCAGCTGGGAGTCTCACTTCTGGGAGCTGTGTACACATACAGCCAGGGTCTCAGCTCTCTAAGTTCTAGTATATGTAGAATACTTTTGCCTCCTTTCTCATGTGTAGTAAGAAGTCTGAACATGTTCCCGCCATTCTCAAACACCACAGACTGTACAGTTATTGCATGTGATAGTTCAAAACATTCCATGGATTTGCTTTGACCTGCTTCAGAGACCTCATCTCTTTGTATTAGTTTTTTCTTTTGTTGCCAGTGATCATTTAACACCTGCTTCTGACTTGTTTGACGGAATCCTTCATTTTTTTTAATGTTAGTAAAATCAGATGTGAGAGGCCAGATACTGTCATGTATCAAAAACTGGCTAAGAGAGAGAAAACAAAGGTAGGAGTAAATGGTTAATATTTGTAATAGGAAAAGGCTGACAGTATGGTATCACAAGATTAAATACCAGGTCCATTGTACTTTAATATATTTATTATCTGGAAATGGGATGAGCAGTGAGGTAGCAAAATTTGAAGATGACAATAAATTATTTAGGTTTCTCAAGATGGGAGAAAACTGAGAGGAACTTCAGACACACCTAATTAGGCTAAGTGTATGGACAACCTGATGGGAGATGAAATTCAGTGTTCACAAATACCATGTGAAATGTACATTACAGTGAGTAATTTGAGCTACTCATATACCTTACATGGTCCTAATTTAACTATCAACTCAGGTCAAAGGCTTGGCCATCACTGGGAAAATTCCATGAAGAGCTCTGCTCTATGTGCAGCAGTGATTAAAAAAAAAAAAAAAAAAAAAAAAAGGGCAGCAAAAACAATGTTAGGATACATAAGAAAAAGGCTGGAAAATAATTTGGAAAGTATTACAATGCCATAATATAAATCAGTGGTATGCCCTCACTTGGAGGCCTATATTCAGTTCTCAAAAATTATATAGCGGAAATAGAGGTGGTTCAGAGACAGGCAGTGAGAATAAGAGGCATGGAAAAATTCTCATGGACAGTGATTGAAAAGATTGAGATTGTTTACCTCAGTGAGGAAAGGAATAAGATGAGCATTATAAAAATATATAAAATAATGGATGATATAGAAGAGGTAAAGCAGGGTCTTCTGTTCACCCTATTTCATAATGAAAGAACAAGGGGACATTTAATGAAATTTGAAAGTGACAAAATCAGAATTGATCAACAAATATTTTTTCACCTAATGCACTGCCTGTGTTACGTAACTTATTGCCACCATCACTGATGCCAGGAACTTATCAGATGTCAAAAAAGAACTGGGTGCTTATTTGGATTCAAAGATTAAACAACAGTTTTGGAAAGAGTATTAACCCTCATGCTTCAGGCCATACCAGTCCCTAACTTTTGGGTTTTAAGAGGAAACTTTCCCTGGGGGACACGTTCTCCAATAACAGTGTATTGAATGGTTTTATACACCTTTCTTTGAAGCATCTGGTACAGACTGCTATTGGAAGATAGGATATTAGACTAGATGGACCACTGGCATGATTCAGCATGGCAAATTTGTGTTCCTCTGTTACTTCCTTATTATAATGGCATATTTCTAATGGTAGAACACTAAAATCCTGTCTTGAGTTGGACCCATTGAAAATTATGTGCACTCAATGAGGTATTTTAGAGAAAAACTAAAATCTCTCCCTGCAAGATGTGCATGAGGGAATAATAGCCAGCATTCATATTAAACATATTGTAAAAAAACATGTTTGCACATGACAGCCTAGCATTTCAAAATACAAAAGTATGAAAGCTAAAGCATCCCAATATACCCATGAAAATATTGTCTTAATATAGAAGGGGAAAATGTAATAGAATGAGATTGCTGTATGATTTGCAGATTGACTGTCCTCCTGGCAGGATTAGTTAAATAGAAAAACCGTGGGACAGTCTCAGTTCACTCCACAGGAATTGCATTGACTTATTTTGACATTTTGAACATACAATAAATATCAAACTTGGGTACCTAAATAAGTGGTCTGATTTTCAGAGGTGTGCGTCTGAAAACCCACAGTTTCCATTTACTGTAGTGTGAAATATGCTTGAGTAGCACACTTCAAAATGAGATCACTTATTTAAGTGTGTAAATAGAGACTTAAGGTGTCTAGATTTAGACACCCACATTTGAAAACTTTGGCTAGAATGCTTACAAGTAGTAACTGTAAATGTAAATAGGATGGGAGAGCATATGTTGCCCTGGTCTGGACAATTTGAGGATTGAGGACAGCAGCCAGGAAAAGATCTAAGTGTCCGTCTGTGTCACCAGTGTAAGTAGTTTTCCCTTTAGTGGAAAAGTACACATTTTCTTTTTCCCCTTCTGAACACAGCAGGGAGGTATCTTTCACCTCACTCCACTCTTATGGGCCTTACTAGTCTGACAGGGACTCCAGGAGTTGCATTTATGTATGCTGGCTCCCCCTGGTTCCATGGATGCCTTAGGCTTCAATCTCTGGCAAATAAACCTCTCCTACTCCTCCCTGAGCAGTGCCCTGCACTGTCTCGCTTTGCACCAACAACACAGCCAGTACTGATGGCCCCGCTTCTGCTGGACCCGTCCTCAGAGTGTGAGAGGGTTTCTGAGCCAGACCCTCATTCTCACCTGCTCACCTATAGCCTGGATCCTTGGCAACAGCCCCCCTATCTGCCCACATATAGATCTTCTGCTATCCCCGGGGGCCACTGAGGCCCAGCAACGCATATGCTTGAGCCTATTGGCCTGCTTCAGCCTCTAACAGGACTGCGGGATGCTGCGACTGCCACCACACTGCACCCTCTTCCATTTATGAAGAACTGCAGGAAGTTCCCATTCCACTGGCACTGACGGTCCCCATTGGGGCCTCAAACGATGCATTTATTTCACCTTCCCTCTACCCTCCAGACAACCATAGCCAATAGCATGACCTGCTTTGGTGAGTGGTTGAGGCTCTCGGTCTCCTGGTGGAGGTCCAGGATGCGCAAAACCAGTTCCGGGATGTTCTGCAACTGCTGGGACCCTCCTGGACTGTCCTCCCTATCCACAAGGCCATCCTCCAACTGGTCCAAGTGGTCTGGCACACCCCAGCTTCCAGTGCCCCACTACGAAGTGCGCTGAACGCCGCTACTTCATCTGATTTAAGGGTACAGACTTCCTGTTTACCCCATCCACCACCCAATTCACTTGTGATCCATGCAGCGACTGAACGCTCCCGCCAGCAACACCTCAAGGCCACCCCCACCCCACGGGCAGGCGGAACCGGGGGGGGGGGAAGGGGCAAAGCCGGTTGCTGGAGCCCAGGCAGCTGTGGGGAGCTGCGGACCCTCCATCTGCCCAGAGTGGGGGGGCCCAAGAGCAGCCCCCAGATCGTGTCCCCTCCCTCGGGACCCCCCACCCAAGGCAGGTGGTGGGTCTGTGGCTCCCCACTGCTGCCTGGGCTGCTCTAACCATAGCCCGGCTTCAAAGCCTCGCTCTCCAGCTGGAGCTGGGTCGGCATAAGAGACATACTGGCAGCTGTGGGGAGCCCTGGACCCTTCACCTGTCCTGGGTGGGGAATGGGTCAGGGGCTGCTGTCGGGTCCCCCTATCCCTGGCAGGTGGAGGAGCCCGAACTCTCCGGTCCTGCTCCGGCTTCTGGCTTGGCCGGGAGCAGGCTTTCAGGAGAATGAGGAGGGGCAGGGTGGCGAAGAAATTGGACCTTCTGGGGTGCAAAGTTTATTCCTCTGTGGGCCTCCAGTTCTGCATTGCCACTTACTAGGCCTTTTGGCAAAATACAATTTCCTTTCCTTACCTGAAGCTGGTGGAGTTTCAGGCTTTCCTCCTGGCGGAGAAACGGCAAGATTTCCAGATGTTGCTGGACGAGGGTGACCTGGTTGCCAAGGTGGCTTTCTAAGCTGCAGTTGACGCCGCTGACACTGCGTCCCACACTCTAGTGACCGGTGTCATGCTCCACCAGGATTCCTAGCTCCAATTCTCTAGCTTCCCTACGTAAGTCCAGACCAATCTTGAGGACCTTCCCTTTGACAACCAAAAACTCCTTAGCGACAAGACAGACAAATTCCTCCACTCTTTCAAGGATTCCCATGCCACTTTGCGGTCGCTTGGTATTTACCCCGGCCATGACCCACAGGCAACAAAGATTGTTTCCGTGCCACCTACTAGCCTTACTTTCAATGTCCCTGGGAGCCATCTCACCATGGTCCGCACATCCAATGACCCTGCTATTTCGCCTCTGCCACTTCTGCTGACTCGGCTCCCTCACACGGTCTGTCCAAACAGCTCTTTTGACTCTTCCCTTGAGACCTGCGAACCTCCTCCTACCTCTCCCACAGTGACCCAGATTGTCTTTGTGGGCCATCTTGCCCGGCTCGCCCACAACTGGGGCAAGATTACCACCTATTGATGGGTGATGGACATCACCCATCGGGGTACTTGATAGAGTTCCTCTGGTTTTCCCTCGTCGTCCACCCCTTGGTGGCCATGGGAATCCTTCCCACCACACCCTCCTCCAGAAGGGCACCATAGAATTAGTTCCTCGCCATTACTGTAGCTGTGGGTTCTATTCCCCCTATTTCCTTGTGCTGAAGAAGGGGGGTGGCTGTCGTCCACTTCTGGACCTCCAGTTGCTGAACACGGTCACGCTTCCTCTCATTCGCCCATCCCTCTGTCCTCGAACCTGGTTCATGGCTCTCGATATGAAGGATGCCTATTTCCATGTTGACATCCACCCAGCTCATCGAAAGTTCCTCTGTTTCACAGTGGGACATTCTCGTTACCAGTTTCGGGTCCTTCCCTTTGGTATTACCACTGCTCCCTGGGTGTTTGAAAAGATCTTTGCTGTCATCGCAGCCCACATGCGTTGTCTTGGCCACTCCATGTTTCCTGGACGATTGGCTCCTTGTTGTGCCGTCATGCACCCATCTCCTCTCCACTATCCAGACCCTCCGTGCTCTCTTTGCCGGCCTGGGCATCTGTATCAGCAAGGTCAAGTCAGTTCTCGTCCCCACCCGTATGCTCATGTTTATCAGGGCATGTCTGTATTTTCTTGTGGGCCGAGCCTTCCTCCCGACAGACCGTTTTGCTACCCTCACCTTTTTCATAGCGCAGCTACTCTCAAACAGCATATGCGTATCTGCCAGTGCCTTTCCCTCCTGGGCCACATGGTGGCCTGCATCGCCATAACACCTGCATGTGCGCTGCCTACAACTGTGGCTCCGGTCGATCTGCAGGCTGCAGTTGGACCACTTGGGCAAGCTGGTCTTGCTTTCCACCCCCGTTCCTCCATCCTGGCTTCCCTCACATGGTGGACCAACCCATCCAAAGTCTTGGCCAGCACTCTGTTCGCTCCTCCCACTGCCCACACCACACTTACCATGGATGCCTCCCTCGCTGGGTGAGACATCATTTGGAGGGCCATATGGCACAGGGCCACTGGATTCTGCAAGAGGTGTGGATGTACATCAACATGCTGGAATTGTGGGCTGCCCGCCTTTCTTGTTGGGTGTTCCTTCCCCTCATCAGATCCCGGTACATTCAGTTGCTGTCCGACAACAAGACAGCAGTTGTGTATATTAACAAGCAGGGAAGTGCCTGGTCCTCCTCCCTCTGTGCAGAGGCCATACTCCTCTAGAACTGGTGCCTCAGGCATGGGTTCACCCTCCACGCCATGCATCTCCTAGGCACCAGCAACTCTCTGGTGGACACACTCAGCAGGTCCTTCTGTGCGAATCACTTGTGGGAGCTCCATGACCTCACACTTGGCTCAGTCTCTTGCCAGTGGGGCATGCCGCACTGGGACGTCTTTGTGACTGCTGCAAACCACAAACTTCTCCTCCTCTGCTCCAGAGGAACCCTTGGGCTGGGCTCACGGGGTGATGCCCTTCTCCTGCCCTGAACCACCAAACTAGGCTATGCCTTCCCGCCCATTCTCCTGCTCCTGCAAGGTGTGGCAGGACCGCATGATGGTCATTCTGATAGCCCCCTCCTGGCCTCGCCAGTATTGTTTCACTGATCTCTTCCACCTTTCTGCTCGCACCCCGATCTGCCTTCCCCTCCTCCTGGATCTCTTCACCCAGGTGTAAGGTTGCCTGTGGCACTCCAACCCAAAGCTGCTCCTTCTTATGGCTTGGTATTTGGATGGGGTTCGTGTGTAGGCAGAGCATGTTCCATACCCATGCACAGCATCCTCACACACAGCAGACAGCAGTCTACCAGAGCCTGCTACCAAGCAAAATGGCGACATTTCACCGCCTGGGTGCACCGCCACCACTACCCTCTGGACTACGTCTCCATTCCCATCCTCCTGGAGTACCTTCTCCACCTTAAGATGTTGGGCCATGCCCCCTCTGCCATCTGTGTCCACCTGGTGGTGCTGAGTGCCTCTGTCCTCCCCCATGGACAGCTCCTTGGTCTTCACTCACCCAACCACCACCATCTTCCTGCATGGCATACTCAATGCCTTCCCGTCGGTGTGGAATTCTACCCACTTTTTGGACCTGAATCTCATCCTCTCTGCCCTCACTAAGCTGCCCTTTGAACCTCTCGCAACTTGCTCTCTTGCCCACCTCTCTATGAAGGTGATCTTCTTAGTGGCCATCACCTTGGCAAGATAGGTTAGCAAGCTGGAGGCCATGATGGCCGACCCACCCTTTACTGTCTTCCAAAAGACAAAGTCTCCCTGTGCCTTGCACCCCAAATTTCTCCGCAAGGTGGCCTCTCCGATCTACTTCAACCAGTGCATCCACTTTCCGATCTTCTACCCCAAACCACACATCTCCCCGAGAGTGAAAACGTTGCATTCTCTCAATGTCAGTCAGGCACTGGCCTTTTATCTCCAGCGGACCCACATCTTCTGTGTCCGCCCAGGCTCTTCCTCACCATCACAGAACACTGCTGGGGCCATGCCCTCTCCTCCCAGTACCCTCTCTCACGTTCCTCTGCCTCCAGGAGTCAATGGCCCACTCCACGCGGGTGCGTTCTGCCACGTCTGCCTTCCTCGTGGACATGCCATGGCAGGACATTTGTAAAGCGGACACATGGGCCTCTGTCCATGCTTTTACCACTCGCTATGCCATCACTGCGGCAGCGGTGATGGATGCAGCAGTCGGCTGTGCCATCCTACAGACTAACTTCTTGTGAGTCCTTCCATCCATCTCCATGCTGAACACTGTTCTCTACTCACCCATGTCTGGAATCCATATAGGGACCATCACTTGAAGAAGAGGAGGTTACTTATTGTAATTGAAGGTTCTTCAAAGATGTGTGGTCTGTCCCTATTTGGATTCCAATACCCGCCTTCCATCCCCTCTTCTGCGGGCTCCATTGCATGCTGGTAAAAGGGACCTGTAATGGTGTTGACCCGCACAGCCTCTTAAAGCCTCAGACAGACTACATGGCCGATGCATGTGCGGATCAACGGACACTACTACAAACAGTTCTGGCACGTGGTATGCGTTCGCAGACATGTCTGGAATCCAAATAGGGACCACAGATCTCAAAGGACCTCACATCTCAAAAGACCTCCAGTTACAGTAAGTAACCTCCTCTTATTTTTTAAACTACTTGTGAGTAATAAAGTGTGTGTGTGTGTGTGTGTGTGTGTGTGTGTACTTTTTTAAAAGACTAAAGGAACAAGGAGCTAGAAAGTCTTTAGACATAC